ACGAACTTGCGGGTTTCTGATGATAATAATCACCCAGATAAAACTGCTGCAACAATAAATGAAGAAAACGTCGAAATAACGAAAAGGTCATACGTCTGTGCTGGCATATATCCTTCTAGTTGAAGTGCAATCGAAAAGAAGACCAGTGAAGCGCAAGATGGAAATTGTGTTGTATTTCGTAACTGGGCATTTATCAACCTAAGGTAACAATCCTTTTATAAAGTCAGAAAGTTCAAAGCATAAGATAATCTTGCTTACTTTCATTTCGTAATTCTGTATTACAGTCGCATCTTCTAAAATTTCATCACAACGATTTAGCACGTCTGCCCATCGTGACAGTTCCGTCTGCAGATAATGACAATGAAATGCCACTCAAAAACTACTAGAAGAAAAATCACGGTACTTTTCCTAAGACTGCTTGGAGATCTCTTGCGCGATTCAACTCCTCAATGAATCGTTCCACTGTGGTTGCATTTTTGATAGTTTCAATCAAATTGGCACAAAGCGGAGGCTGAAATCCGCTGTTTAATAATAAATATAAGATGATAGAAAGTAACAACACTACACCTACCAACTCTCCGTTGCATGGTGAGAAATTCTGATGATCAATTTTCATTTGTGGCGAAGCATGCAGTTTTTGATACAAATATAAACAAACTGTAAGAAAAAACTTCAGTTCATGTAGGAAATATAAAGAGTTGGGAACTACGACCGCCGATAGCCAAACGATACCAAGCAGAAGCGACCACCGACAACTGTTACCTACGAATGAGGCGAATGAGTAATGATGTAAACAACAACGCTATCTACACAAGGAATCATTTCTTGACGGAAATTCCCGACACTTCACCAATTCCCGAAGCTGTGGGTGATTTCGAAAGGTTTCGAAACTGAAAAATCATCGTTTTCAAAATCGGAAACACCTACACCCACATACGTCACCACTAAGAGCAAAACCAGAGCGGTGAGTGACGGTGCACGATGTCCGAAAACACTACTGATTTAAAGGATGCTGAGCGGTTATGGTAGTTCTATTGGAGCGCGAACA